TTATTTCATTAGCCAGGTTCATAAATAAAACACATAAGAACAATGTAAGAAAAATCCAAAGTATTTCAACAAGAGTCATATACCTAGTACTTACTAAAAATCAATAAGAGAAACAGAAACTTATCCAAGCATATGCCCCAACATCAATACACAATGACGATGAAGTCGAAACCTTTTACGAAGATATCTCTAAAGCAATATAACAAGACCAGGAAAAATATACAATCCTCCTAGGTGATTTTAGTGCCGTAGCCAGACCGATCACCTACAGGTGATAAAATCCGTAATAGAAAAATGTGTAGAATACAACAGACCACTAGTACTGGATCTTTGTAGACTATGAAAAGGCGTTCGATAATGTGGACCAGCACAAGCTACTACTACTGGCTCTAGCGGACTGTTGTATCAATCATCGTTACATAACATAACACTCATAATAGTTATTTATGATACAGGTGTTAAAAGTACATTTTTAAGGCACGCATGTGAAAGTTTGCAGAATGAGCGAAGCGAATTCTGCAATTCACATAAGTGCCTTAAAAATACTTTTAACACAAATATCATACAATATTTTTTCTACAAACGGCAATAACAAGCAATAACCAGTGACAAATTGGATTTTTAAATGAATAATAAATTGGAAGCATCTTTCCTACGTAAAATTATTGAATTTGATATTTGTCAAAAAATTCAAACAACCAGCACCTTGTTTTACAGGTAATGAAATGTCTCGTCAGTTTCTTGAAAGTCTGTCGTATGGTCTATCGTGGTCAGTAAGCTTTTTGCTAAAAATGCAACAAAATACACAAGAAAAAGAGGGTTGCATCAATCCCTTGAAAAATATAGAGGAGGCGGCCGATGGAGCTTCCTCAGTTGTTCAAATTTTACCAATAATATTAATGTAAATAATTAAAAATACAAACTTTTTTTGACGTTTGCTTTCAAATTTTGATGTTTCATTTTTAACACTAGTGCCTTAAAGACTTTTAACACTAGTGCAATAAAGTAACATTTTTAATGCTTCGAGGGGGTGTTAAAAATTGCATTTTTAACACGTTTGTAGAAAAAAAACATTTACGACACTGCCACCCCCATGTTGACTACATGCCGACACCGACAAATTTAATATAAATCGTGGAATCCGACAGGGCTATACAATTTTCCCTAAATTATTTACTACATTGCTACAGTATATGTGCAAACGGACAGATTGGGATAATATGGGTGTAAATGTCAATGGCGAAAATCTCAGCCACCTCAGATTCGCCGATGATATAGTTTTAATTTCAGACCGTACTGTACACAACATCTCTTGAGAGACTTTACCAAGCATCAGGTCAAATTGGGCTAAAAATTAACATATTAAAGACCCAATTTATGACAAATCTAGTAGTATCTAAAAACATACCTTTAGGTGACACTGATGGCGGTTCCGATTGGTAGATTTAGTGCGGAACTAGTGCAATTTTTTCTATTTCTGTCTTTTTCTTCTACAGGTTGATTAAAAGGGTGCAAATTAACTCGGTGCGCACTGAATTTACCAATCGGAAACGCCATGAAATACAACAAGCTATAAATACTTAGGCCGCGAAATTCGCATAGGTCGAGATAACCAGACCTGTGAAATTTGCAGGAGATTAGGCTTGGCATGGGCAGCATTTGGCAATCTCAGAGACTCATTTAGGTCTGATGTTCCTATATGTCTGAAGCGTAAGCTTTATAACCAATGTGTCCTGCCTGCCTGTCATGACGTACGGAGCCGAAACCCGAACACTAAGCAAAAAGTCTATTAATAAAATAAGAACAACACAAGCAGCAATGGAAAGATCAATGCTGGGAATTTCGCTTAGAGATAGGATACCTAATAGAGAAATACGGCGAAGGACAGGAGTTACAGATGCAGTAAAGAGGGTAACTTCTTTAAAATGGAACTGGACGGGGCACGTTGCGAGAATGAAAGATGAACGATGGACTAAAAGGATTATTGAGTGGAGGCCAAGACAAGAGGCATATCGAAGTAGAGGGCGACCCCCAACAAGATGGACGGATGACATAAAGAGAATAAGGACAAACTGGATACAGAATAGGGAAGAGTGGCAAAATTAGCGGGAGGCCTATGTTCAGCAATGGATTTTACAATAGGCTTATTGATGATGAGGATGATGATGATGATAACGTTATAAATTTGTTTGATTATTCCACTCATGTGTTAGAAATCCCATAAGACAAGTGACGATTTTCAGAATTCCAGCGAAAATTCTCTTTTCCATTTGTTTAACTATAGAGAATTACAGCGACAATTCTCCGATGTTATTGTATACATGGTTGTCATGCTAATTTTTGATACAAACAAACAGTTTCTGAGAGCAACCATTTATTTGTATTGATTGTTAAGATATTCAAATCGTTTAATACATATTTATTTCCATGTTTTGTGCATTCTCATACGTGAAATAATCCTCTAAATACCACTTGAGCTTTAAAATGAACCAGATAATTTTTCACTCATGCGTGTTTTCTCTGCAAATTTCACTCGTCCTACGGACTCGTGAAATTATAGAGAACACGCAATCGTGAAAAATTATCGGTAATTTTGAAGCTCTCGTGGTATTATCCCCGAAAATTTCACTCTCACATTTAACAAAATAGTGGTCCAAGGTCCAAGCAGGAGTTTCCTGTACCTATTTTTCTTGTTGGCTTATTTATTAGTCTGACAAAATCATGACTCTGCATCATAGTTAAATAATTATTCGTAATATCTTCATCCGTTTTAATTAGGTCGATATTTATATACCCTGTAAAAATGCATACTCGATTCTGATCAGTTACTTGCTCTCTGTACTATGACGTTTTGGTATTGGGTAAATATCTCCTTTGTCAATCCGAAGACTTTGTATGTCGCTAGGATATCCACTAACACATTGTTCTTTTGAAGGGTGACTTAACATTGAGATCTCCTTCATTTAAGAGCTGTTGGCCCATAAATAGATCTTGCTTCACATACACAATGCAACCATCACATTTACTAAATCGAGAAAAATCTTTAAACAAGACAGACTTTTCACTGAGGAAAATTTTAGAAAGTTTGGGTTGCTATGAAATCAAACGGACTGGAATAGAATATTTTCAATTGAAGACCCTTTGGAGCACTTTCATCTGCTTTCAAGCAATAACTTTAACATTTATTTTCCTATTGTCAAGATAAAGCATAAGAGGCTCAATCGTACACAAGGGGTCTGAGAACATCGGCTGCTAACTTAAGATCTATGCGATATATCAAAAAGTTCTATAATCAAACTTTTATCAATTAATATAAAATATACCGTAAAACTTACAGAAAGGTGGTTAACGTGGCAAAAAGGTTGTACTATGGGAATCAAATTGAACAGGCTTGAAATAAAAATAGAGAATCATGGAAATTTGTGAATAAATTTAGAGGTTGAAATTCGTTTATGGTTTCCTCATATCTCAGAGCAAATGATTTGGATTTTTTTTACTGTAGTTCATGATTTATCTGGTAAAATTACTTTATTTTTATTTGTTATTTTAAAGGTACTTCTCACAAACACCAAAGGTAACTACGTCATGTAAGAGTGCTTACAACTAGACTAAATAATAAAATTTAAAAAAAAAGACAATATTTAATACAGTAATAATAGATGGTTTCTATATCCTTGAAATAATACAGGCACAACTTTCACTTATAAACATATATAAAAAATAAAAAACAAGAAGGTAGTTTACATTTATTTGATCATCACTTTTTTCATCTTATCTTTGTACTTAGCAGTCTTTCAATTTCGGCAGTCCCAATATTACACATATTATCTACATCCTTCATATCGCTTCTATTACATCCTAGCTATAAAGAACCATCAGACTATCTAAGACTAAGCAATATATCTGCATCTCAGAAGTTTTCCCTCTATTCAGCAACATCTGTGAAAATCAAAGATATCTTTAAAAGATTTAAAAAAAAAGAAATCTTCAGGATGGGATAAAATTTCGCTAAGGGTAGTCGAGGCAATTCCAGACTTGGTATTGGATGCACTGGCTAGAGCTATCAATGATTTCTTTGCAACCGGAAAATTTCCAAATTGTCTTAGAAGAGCCTTGATTGTTCCATTGTCCAAGGGTGGAGATAGCAACCTACCTTCTAATTTTCGACCCATTGCACCCTCTCTGATAGTAGAAAAACTAATTCAAGTTGAACTAACATCTTTTCTAACAAAGCATAAACTTCTTAGTGTCACACAAAGCGGAGAAAAGCACAAGTGATGCGATTTTGAACTTTTTGGAGCATCTATACATACACTTGAACTCAGGAAAAAAGGCCTTGTGGTGTTCTGTGATATGTCCAAGGGATTTGATTGTGTAGATCATGGAATACTACTGGGTAAACTTAGAGGTTTGGCTTTGGAGTGGTAGGACTCAGTCAGTTGTTTTCATTGGGGAATGCTCTTCAGCGGAATCTGTATCAGCGTACCTCAGGGCTCAATTCTTGGAACACTCTTGATTTTTATCAATGACATATCTCGTCTTCCAATAAGGGGAAGATTTACAGCGGATGATCAGACAATTCTATGGCATGATCAGGAAGTTGACAGGCTTTCTAAGATTATTCAAGAAGATGTATTTTTGTTGAAAGAATGGTTTGATGCAAACCGATTATCCCTCAATATTTCTTTGCTGGGGTTGAAAACCAGTCATATAACGACCATCTGTGAAACCCCCAGCTCTCAAAGGCTGGGAAACTTGCCTTACAACTCAATGTTTCAAAAAAAAAACGATCTCCATATTGCTACAAAATAATAAAGTGTTAATTGTATAAACTTGTTTTGGATCAAACCTTCTATGACTTATAGAAATAATGCTTGTACCTCCAAAGCAAGTTACTCATTGTTTTTTTTTTTTCAAAAACGCAAAATTACCTCCTAGAGGTTCATTTTATGTGAACTTATAATTCTTCAACAATCAAATTAATAAGTATTTGTCTTTAGTTCAATTTAGGAACCAGTCATCGTGGGCACCAAAAGTTAATACAAAAAAGCAGAAAAGAAAAAAAACGAAAAAGAACACTAGCAAAACATACTCTGATATAGTTATAGGTGAGAAATCAAATTTTGTATTTTATTTATATGGTATGGTATTGAATTTGTATTTTAGTGACAAAAGCCTCCTCTTGTATAAAAAAGGCCAACATAACAAGACTGACTCCTTCCGATTTAAATGTTCTAACTTCAACGGATGTTAGTTTAAACGAATTATATAAAATTAAAAATGTTATTGCAAATGTGGGAGGCTTTTCACCTCAAACCTATAGGTAAGAAATTATATTTATTATAAAGGACCCCGCACACATCTTATGGGTTTTTGGTTTTCTGTCAAACTCAATGAAATTTTGATATGTGGTATATCTTCACTTACTGATAAAAAGTTCTCATGGGCCCAACCTGATACTATGATTAGTTTCCGAAATATAGGTGGTTTAATGTTCAAGAAATGTACACATTTTATATGCATTCACATCTATCTGTCACCTATTATTAGGTCTGTCAGAGTGAATTTCATTGGTTGTAACTAGTTTTCTGACTGTTTTTGACTGTTTTCGACCAATCAAATTCCCTCTGACAAGTTTGTGATTTTTGCAGAAACAGACCTATTATTAGGTGACAGGTAGATGTGAATATACATATAAAATGTATACATTTCTTGGACATAAAAGTACCTGTATCTCAAAAACTAATCATAGGATTGATTCGGGCCCATGAGAACTTTTTATCAGGAAGTCAAGGTCTAACACATATCAAAATTTCAGTGAGTTTGACAGAAAACCAAAAACCCATAAGATGTGTGCGGGGTCCTTTATCTAAAACATTATTTCCTCAGCAATTTGGCCATTGAAGGTGTGAAATTCAATTGCGAATTGGTTCCTTTACCCAGTGATAGTAGTAGCCCTAAAATTATTAGTAATGTAAATAAACCTAAGCTAAGACAAATTGAAAATGTTGACATTTGTGAAGAATTTGAATACGAACGCGATTTGGAAGCTCAAAGCTTGGCCATTGTCAAAAACTCTTTGCAGCCCGAAGAAATCGAAGAGAATTTGAATTTGACAGAAGAAATAGAAAAGCAACCCTCAAAATCTATTCAACATCTAAAACATAGAAATATGATAGCTGCAAAAACTTTAGGAGCCTACATTGAAGTATGCAACCATTTGAGGCGCCCCCAGAAGGGCTTAACTGCTTTGTATTTTCACCAGAACAGGTCAAGAAAGGAAGTTCAAAATCGAGTTTCTAGCATGAAATCTTTATCCGTCTATTACACTTTGTTGAAGGTAAATTTTTCCAAATTATACATAACAGCCTTTGTACGTATTATTTTTAGGGCTTTGCCGATAAGGGTGACTATTATAAAATACAGCACGTATTAGACATAATGGAAGCAGAAAAGATTCGATTAAATTTAAATTGTTATGTTGCCATACTTGAGTGTTTAGGCAGAATAAATGTGGACAATTTTTATTTGAAAGACATTAGGATTTATATTAAACAAGCCCTAAACCAGGGCATTAGTTTTGATGATATAATGAACAAAGGGATTTTTTTAAATGACGAAAGAGAACACGTTCTACAAGCCTTGAACGCCTACGATCCTGATTACACACCCACTTATAATAAACCAACAATTTGGTATAACAATTGTTTATTGAATCATTTAAATAATGAATCTCAACAGACATTTGAAATTGCCGAATCTAAGGGTTACGGAGAATTAATTACACAGAGTGCAATGGAGGATTTAGTTCAAAAACAAGTAGAATTGGAAGAAAAAGGTTACATCACTGTAAGTAAGTTGAAATGGTATTGTTAATAAAATTAATTAATGTATAAATTTAGATTAAAAGCATATTCAACAATGATCCTCCATCGAAAGACATCATCCATTTTCGCTCTGCATTGAGTGACCACTATAAAATGTGGGCTGAAGCAGCTCACCAAGCTTTCCACCGCGACTTGGCTACCCTCACAGCCCAAAGGAACGCTTTCAATATGGAACCGTATTTCCGTTCTATTCCGGTTAAGGATTTTGTTGAGATAATGGTGCAAGAATCTACAAAAATGGCTCAGGGATCTGAAAGTTATAGTCCTGAAGTGGTTATTTTGTATAAGATGTTAGGGATGAAGGTTTATACTAGATATATGGTTTTGAAGAAACAGAAAACTGGCGTTACGAAAAAAGTAGGTATAAGTATTGCTTAAAGAAAGATAAATCTAAATATTTTTTTCTTACAGGTTTTAACAATCCATTCGAAATATTGCCAAAACTACTCGGCCACCCACACAGAAATGGAAAAGGTACCAACCAGAGAAAATCTAACCAACCCAAGAATCCAGTGGCAGTTACTAGAACACTCTCACTGTCACGAGGGCGCAACCTTAAAAATGGGCCACCTACCTTGGGTACCCTCCACCTTAACATCTATAGGCAAATTTCTGTACCACATAATTATGCACGACTTTAAAATCGACGTCAACAGCTTGAGGCCTAACTGCAAACATCAAAATTTGTTGCCAGCTTTTTACACGATTTTCCGAAGCCAAGGCCGTATTGTAAAAGAGGAAATCAAACCGCATCCAGTATTATCAAAACTGTATAAGTCTTCACGGCCTGAAACTCTTACATTTCCAGTTAATGAAGTTCCTATGTCTTGTCCGCCAGTACCTTGGACTGCCATTGATAACGGAGGTTACATTATAGCTCCAACTGATGTCGTTAGGTAAATAAAATTTTAGTAGTAACGCGAGTAGTAACGTGCATAATGTAATTGATTGTGATTTCACAGGTTACCATTTCAAGCGTCCACCCAAAAGAAACGAATGTCCGATGCCGAGCCAGCTCAACTCTATCCGAATTTTGATGCACTCAACCAGCTAGCAACGGTGCCTTGGAAAGTCAACACAAAAATTCTCGATGTGATACTGGAAGTATTCAGGAATGGTGGTTCCGCAAAGTTAGACGTGCCGGAAGATCCTTCGTCACTTGGCCCACCTCCAACTGTTACCCCTGAAATGGAAAAGGCCGAAAGATATCAAGTTTTCAAGCAAAAATTGCAACACACAAGGAAAAAGGGCGAGATGTACTCGATGTGGTGCGATTGTCTATATAGATTGTGTTTGGCAAACCATGTAAGTATGAGTATGAGAACAAGTATATGAATACTGAAAATGGGGTTGAAGCAAACATTATTATTTTATTATTATTATTGTCACGGCTTTGGGGTGCGTCTTGGGTCCACTTATTTCAAAATCAAAGTCCAATTAGAACAACAATAATTTATTCCACATGCACTAAAAACTACTAACTAATATCGGCCTTTATATATCCATAATCAATTCCTGTGAAATCCAGGATAAACGCGATAGCCCGTTTTCCCGAATAGCACTGTAAAATTTAGAATCAGCGGTTCAAATCTGTACATCCTGGCGCTTCGGCCAGATTTTCAAGACACAGCACTCCTCTTAAGGTTGATTGTTCCGATCAAATTTGCGCCCATGACATTTTGTCAGTCTGTCCAAATGTACACCTTTCATCTTACTCCTGATGTTGCACTGAACTCTATAAACCAAATCAATAATCCTCTTGATTATTCTTTAGCATTCTTCTCATGCTGAAGACAATTTTGGCGACACTCCTTTCTTTCTTGCTGGATTATGCAGCCACACTAAATCACCTTCTTGAAATCCGGCTGAATTGGCTTTCAAGCCATACTTGGTCACTGGCCAGCTGAATATGCTCCCGAGCTAAATCGTCTATCCCTAGATGTCGCGCCCTTACTTCGTCGGCATAATCTGGAATTTCTTTTCGTTCTTCTTTCGGTATTCCAAACCTAAGTTCCCTCCAAAAAACGATTCTAGCTGGACTTTCACTTGTTGACTCGTGGACAGCTGCTCTGTAAGCCATTAAAAATAGAGGCAAGTGTTCGTCGCAATCTGGCTGGTTCTTTGCGACCACTTTTGCCAGGTGTTCCTCTATGATCTATGGATAATAAGAACATAATCCTAAAAAACTACTTAGTTCATGTTTGTTGCATGGTTTTGACCAATCCCTGACACCATCTATTTTTCCTTCCATAATTTGTATGCCATCTTCAGATACCACGTGACCTAAGAATTCCATTTTCTTTTCAAATAGAAAACACTAATTTGTATTGAGTTTTAAGATGGCATTCCGGAAGCAGTCAAAAACTTCTTTCAGGTTATTGAGATCTTCTTGAAATCTTAATTTTATACATTTTTATTAAATTTTTATGTGGGAACACTGTTTCTTTCCGACTTTCAGCTGTATTGTATTCTACTTTTATTTGCTATTTTTAGTGTTTTTTTTTTAATTTAATTCTAAAATTTTTCTATGAACTTTAATGTTTTCTGCTTTTTATTTATAACATGACATGCATTTGTATTTACTTTTTTTTTTTTTTTTTATCTTTTTATGTTAAGGCTTTGTCTACAAATGTTTATTTTTGATGACAATAAAGCTAATTTTGAATTTGAATTTGAATTTGAATTTGAATTTGAATTTGCCATGATCATGACATCATCTAAATATACCAGACAAGTTCTTCATGTAAGGCCTCGCAAAACTAGATGCATCAGTCGCTTAAATGTAGCGGGAGCATTACACAATCCAAAAGCCATTACGTGAAACTGGTATAACCCGCTTCCGGTACTAAAGGTAGTTTTCTCTTTGTCATCTTTGTGTATTGCCACTTGTCAGTATCCACTCTTAAGATCCAAGGTGGAAACCCATTTGGAGCCCGATAGAGTTGTTAATGAATCGTCTATCCTCGGGAGAGGGGAGCTGTCCTTCTTGGTGACGTCATTAAGCTTACGGTAATCCACACAAAATCTAAGGCTTCCATATTTCTTCTTAACCGATACTACTGGTGCAGACCATGGACTATGTGACTCTTCAATAATTTTGGAATGTAATACCACAAGAAGTTGCATCAATGTGTCTGTATATAATTTCGATTTTACAAAATGTCGTTTATCTGGTAGGTCACAGTCGATATTTGCTTAGCTGGTTCGAGAATTCCAATAATATCTTTCTCTATTTTCACTGTTTCAGAAGAAACATTGGCAATTCGTATCATAATGTCTCCATTTGTTCTTACTAGAGTCTTTCCAACGAAAAATTTTTCTGGTTCATCTCCAATAAAAGTATGTGTTAGTTCAACGCAGCACCCAGGGTTTGTTTCCAATTTTCCGTAAATGATCTTTTCAGTACTTCCAGGCATCCTCACCGGGTTTGTGGCTAGGATCTTAACGGCTTGAGATTCTTCTTGTGTAGTTAGGACAAATTCTTCATTACCAAATTTAAGGATGTTCATGAAAGGATCGAAAGAGAAACCCTGTTGGCCGATCAAATCCATTCCCAAAATAAAATCATCCTCTATATCGGCGACTAATATTCTGGTGGTGGTAGATTCAAAAGTAAGCTCAACCAACCATAGCTTCTCCTTGAACTGGTGCCGATTCGCCCGTGACTGTTCGTAGTGACAGGTTTCTAGTGAGCGGATGGGTTGCCCGAGACTTGACTTGGACTTGACTGATGTTTTTATTAATTATAGAAACCTCAGCACCCGTATCAAAAATGATGGTTTTAAATTCTCCATTAATTTGTCCTTCGACTTTTAATTCTCTATAATGACTGCCCAATGATTTTATGGAAACATATTCCGATTGTATCATTTTGATCCAAGCATGGTCCATAAACTAAGTCTCCGAAATTAAAATGACGTAGGACTAAAGTTTCCGTGAGCTGGATTTTTTGTTATAAACTAAGAAGGTGACGGTGAGGGTATAATAATTTCAGTAAAAGATATGCCTTCTTTATGTTTTCGTTTATATGCTTTCGTAATCGAAGATCGGTGTCCAACATTAAACCAAAATTTCTCGCACAGTCTCAAGCAAGCTCATTTCCAGAAATATTCACTTTGAATGTAGTTTTCATTGTGTTTCTTTCTTTTCCAAATAGCATGACAACTGACCTTGTTAGGATTAATTTTTAAATTGTGTTTTTCAAAGATGGTAACGAATTGGTGTAGATCTTCTTCTAGCAGAGTTTTTGCTTGTTGCCAGTCTTTCGGATAGAATGAGAGATATACTTGATTATCATCTGCATATTGGTGACCTTTACAGTTTTTCAGACACGAGGTTAAGTGACAGGTATAAATAGAGAACATGATTGGTGCCAAAATTGCTCCCTGCGGGATTCCGCTGCTTATATGTTTCTTGTCTGATTGTCCATGGTTGTGTTTTGGTATCGTCTGTCCGGATAACTATGCATTAAGCCAATCGAGTCACTTGAGAAATCTATGAAGTGGAGTATTCCTAAGAATAATTGATGATTCACCCTGTCGAAAGCCTTCGAATAGTCCAAAAGAATTAGTGCTCTTGTTTTGCCAGTGTCTGTTTGCTGGAAAATATCATCTGTTACGTGTGCGAGGGCAGTAGTACAACTGTAGCCTGGTCTAAAGCCTGATTGGTGTGGCGGCAGAATTTGAAATTTTTCGAGGTGTTCACGTATTTGCTTGTCCAACACCTTTTCTAGAACTATACATAAACATGGAAGAATACTAATGGGACGCAGATAATTGTATTTATGAACGTTGCTTTTTTTTGGTATGGGTTTGACCTTTGCAATCTTCCAGGTTGTCGGAAAAGTATTATCAAGCAGACATGAATTGATACTATTTGTTAAGAACGGCAAAATCATAGGGCAGCACATAAGCACCATTTGTAGATTAATTGTATCCGATCCAGTTGCTTGAGATTTGAGGCTATACAAACAGTCTTTCACATCTTCAACAGCTACTGTTTTAAAGCAGAAAGTCTCCATGAAGTTAGTTTTTGTATTTCGTGTGTAGACGTTTAATAGCTCTAGATCTATGTTGTAAATTGAAGGAAAAATTTATTAATTTCTTGTGGATTGTTAAGTACTTCAGGCAAGGTTGTGACAGTGCTGGCGTTATTAACGATGTCTAATTGTTTCAGACGCTTCCATAGTAGTTTTTGTCCGATCCACGAGTGCAATATTCAAGGTAGCTTTTCTTTTCGTTTTGGATGGCTATGTTTGTTGTATTACGCAGTAGCTTGTAATATTGCCAGTGGCGCTCTGTTCCTGAGTGTTTGAATCTATTATATGCTTTTTATTCGAGTTTAATCATTTTTATGATATTATTGGTTAGCCACGGAGGCTTTTGTTTTTTTATTAAGACTGTTTTCACTGGGGCCAATAGGTCAAATATTGAAACGATAATGTTATTTAAAATGTCCAACTTTTCGTCGATGTTTTAGTTTTGACAGTACAAAATTTCAAAAAATGGAGCTTGTTGAACCAAATTACTTAGCATGTCTTGATTGATTCTCTTGAGATTTTTAAAAGTAACGTAATTGGGTTCACATTTAGTTTTTTCTTGTATACTGCAGAATGTCAGACAGTAATCTGATACTCTATGTATTTTTGTAACCAGTTGCTTGCAATTAATTAAATTATTGGGTACCAGTATCCAGTCTAACAGTGTTTTTGTCGTAGCTGTGATCCTTGTGGGTTTGTCAATTATTTATTTAACTCGTATATCTCGAGACATGTAAGTAGTTTTTGGGTATTTAGGCTATCTACATCGAGAAAGTTGGTATTAACATCCCCACCACAGATTAATATGTCTGTCGTAATTGAGAACTGAGATAGAGTGTCAATGAAACGCGAGTAGTCTCCCCCATGTAACCTATACAAAACGCCAATACAATATGATTGCTTTATTCAATTTAAAGGTAATCCAGATTTGTTCGATACTTTCATTAGATATCGAATCCAGGATGTTATATTTTATTGCGTTTTTTATAAACATTCCCACCCCTCTTCCTAAAAAATTTCTCTCACCAATTGCAGTTCTATCCTTCCGTATTAGTTGATATCCTGGTATTTGTATAATATCATTGTTTATTCTTTTACTCAATAAGGTTTCCGACATGCAAAATATATCGAATTTTTATCCCAATATCAATTGCTTTATGTCCCCAAAATGTGCATCAAGAGAGCTGACGTTAAAAAAAGCTATTGTAAATTGATTCATAGTGATTATGGTTCTTTGTAAAAAGTAGAGGATATCCTTATTGTACAA